GTTACAGTGGCAGTTGCTGATGAAAATGGGAATGCAGGCTCTTTCTTAGTTGTTGGTGGATATAGTTTATCTGGTAGTGTTACAACTGATGGCCAGCCCACCCCAGGGGTCAGTTTCATTCTGCATACTCAGAGTGACAACACAGCAATGCCAGGTAACTTTTCTCTTGTTTTAAATTGTGCCTTCATGGGATATGGATTTTACCTGATAATATACTGGAAAAGTGAGTTTCTTAATTCTGTCTTTATGGTCATGTCTGTCACTATGCACTTAACCCATAAATGGTGGCACAAAAACGAGTGTAAGGAACATGAAATATCCATTGATGTTGGCCGCCATCTCTACAACTAACATCCACTGATAATTGCTGCTATTTTAAGGGTTAAGGATGAGGTACACATTAGTGGGGTGCCTGATGTACAAGTGTGAAAAACATTGAAAATATAAAGGTTGTTGCTGTTTAGATAGATACTGGAGATGGAATATTATGCTTACATAGTAGAAACAGTCAAGATCACAGATTAACACTTTAAAATGATAAAATTTCCATCTCTTTCACCTATGAATTGACCTGCATCATTTTCTACATAAAATACTGTTGTTCGCAATATATTCATAAAAGCCTTGTGCTGAGACCATTAGCCTGTACAGTATCTTGATTTTGATTCCTTCAGGGTGAAAAAGAAAAAACATGCTCTTACTTTAATCATATGTTTGAATGATACTGACATGGACAGATTTTTCAAAGGTGATACTGTGCATGAACAAAACTTTTTAAACACATAAACTGCTGCAATATTCATTGATGTGTAACCTAGGCAACTTTGGCCAGCATCAATAGACACCTTCATTTCTTGCCAAGGCATTTAAGTGCATTTAATGTTCTCACACTTTATTTTAAGACAGCTATCATTGGTAAACATCCTGTTTCTCACCAGAAGCCGTAGTGGTTGTTTGTAATTAAGTTGGGAAAGTATGAAAAAATTATTACAAGTACAATATCTGCCAAGGTCTAATCAGTAAGTAAATAAAGATAACCCAGTGACTACTTTGTGGTAACACTTCTGACTACGAACACCCAAATATCAGCCACCACTGATCACCAACATCCAAACTTCACATGGAAACAGCTGGGTCCTTGGCAATTATTGCCTGCTATCATCTAGTACAGTATATTCAGCTGTTAAAATTAACATTGAAAAGGTTCATAATACAGTGTAACCCCAAAAAATGTGTAAGTCAGCATCATGGTGATAACATCAGCACTGTCCAAGCTCTTCCTTGAACTAATATCAACACCCTTCAGACCCTACATTTCTCAAATTTGGATATAAATTTTTACAAATTAAGCTTCATTACCTTATTAAATGTTACACTGCATATTTGAATATTATTTAAAGTCCTGGAACCAATTTCACCACTCATTAATCCCTCCATTTCACAAATAATACAGAACTGGTCATAAAAAGTGATTTCAGGATGAATTTTCCATTTTTTACCAATCTTTCACTTTCCACTCACTCAGTATGCCCATACCACTTATGCAAACCCTGATTTGATCCCTGCCCTCCACTTATACACCTCTTTATTGATAATTTCTTATTTTCTATATCCTGTTTACTCCAGATATTGCTCTCTATCCTCTTGCACTAGAAGGCCATTTTTTTTTACGTAAATAAACTGTAAGGATATCATGTCAACAGTTTCCAGTATATCCCCATCTTTGCTTTCTTTGACATGGTTTTTCTCATAATACATTTCTCAATTCATCCATTAGATACTTTCTTTACTACAGTTACTGTGATTTTCTTTATTTTGTTTTTCATGGTAGCATGTAAACATGGAAGTCCTGAGGGCTACCAAAACACAATTGGAATGCCAGTTGTGTGCCATGTGGTGTCTGGCACTGGTGGTGTGTTCTCCTTTAGTGCTGTGCCACCTGGGGTATATGCATTAACTCCTTACTTCCATTCAACTACCACCAAATATGAAGTGACACCAAGCCAACTGGAGTTAACTGTTGGGCATGACGACTTGATTCTCCAACAGCCATTTAAGGTAATTTCTTGTTTTTTCATGAGCCAAATGTCACTCAGGATGTCTCCTATAATAGGGATATATTCCATGATAATGTGCTAGTATCTTTCTTTGTAGGTTTTAGTGATGCGCCACAGCACCATCATTACCATGTCCCCCAAAAATCAAATAGAGTTGGGTCTTCATTTATGCGGTCAATTGAACCCGCAGAGTACCACGTAAAACGAGAAATGCTTAAATTAAATAACAGAACATATGGGATTAATTGAAATAGAGACTGGGCCGACCCCAAAACTCCACTTTTTCTGACAATACCTACGTTGTAGTAAAAATATCATCTAAATTTTACCTCAGACTAAAGTTAGGATAATATAATTGACATTGCTGGATTCCTTGCAAGACCAGGAATATTTTGAATATAAACGTCATATATTTTGCACAAAAGATAAAATTTTGGCTCTTTCTAATCAAAATTCTTATATTAGATCTAAAATTTGTATGTCTAATGCAAATTCCATGATGTTTATATTTAAAATAATCACAATCTTATAAGAATTCCAGCAATGTAAATTATATTCTGGCCGGGTAATTTGTATGAATTTTATGAGCTAAAACAAATATCTTTAGTAAATAAACAAATTATACTTCACCCCAAATTTACCGCATAATTAAAGCATTTCATTCTGGCAAGGCACCGCATAAATGACCAAACGCGTAAACAAAAACCACGTAAATCCAGACTCATCTGTAAAGCATTCCCAAATACTGGACTGGAACACATCCTATTTCTCTTAGTCTTCCTTCCTCTAACTTCTTTCTTCCTCTTTGGTCTTTCTTCCTCTACATCTTGAGTCTTTCTTCCTCTTTTATATTGTATCTTTCTGTAGACAGGAAGGAGGGTGCAGACCCATTATCAGTTAGAGCAAGACCACACATAATCTTGACAAGAGTGTCAACAGTATTATTGTGTACTAAACCAACATGAGACAGAATCCACAGAAACTGTATTCCAATAGAGTTATCACAAGCTAATGCCTAGAGCTGTGTTATATGTTGGACTAAAGGGAGAAAATTTAATTTAGGAGAGGAGAAGACCTGGTGGGCAGACTGGGAATCACACACATGGTAATCACTTCATTTAATCTTCTGTGAAGGAGGAGATCAACAGTATCAAAGAGTTCTTGCAGTTCACTCTACTGTAGGTAGTGCTGTGCCATTTGAGAAGCTTGCAGCTGATCCAACCTCCTGCTGGTGTGTCATTATCAGGGAAGAAGAGAGAGAGAGAGTACACTTACATAAGTTCAGTGTATTGTTGGGCTTCTAACTTGTAGCATTCTCAGCCATGCTGAGTCTAGGAGGCAAGCAAGGCAGCCAATTGCAACCTTCTTTTGTACGGCTGGCCAATAGGAATGGTGTGTGTGGGTGGAGCACATAGACGAGGGGACACTACCAGGGCAGCATATATGCACATGTACAATATAGTATTTCCATGCAAACCTGGCCCATAAGCCACTCTCCTCTTCTATACTAATAGCTGATTGGTTCATAGAAAATTCTAACTAACTGTGTTCACAATTATTGGTAAGAAGACCTGTTATTATCAAAAATAATGTTAAATATATGGACTCTCAAAATGCAAATGATTTCAAGGCATTAGTACTTCAGAGAGGGTGTTAGAAAATTTTAATTATATATCATAAAAGGTTGATATAAATACGAGCTTATATGCGCGCAGTCCAGGGGAGGTAAAACGCTCAGGAGAACCAATCAGTTATTTGTAGGTATAGACGAGGGGTGTGGCTAACGGGCCAGGTTTGCATAGAAAGGGTATAGTACACCAAGTTTTGAGACAAAGCTGGTACCAGAAAATATTTCTCAATACACTGTACAGTGACCCCTCGGTTAACGAACTCAATCCGTTCCAGAAGGTCGTTCGTTAACCGAAACCATTGTTTCAATGGGTTTTTGGGTAATTGGTTCCAGATCAACGAAAATTTCCTAAATTCAACAGAAATGGTAGAAAAGTTCACTTACTTTGAGGTGTGTATGTAGAAGGCTCCTGGATGATGATGATGATGGGAATTAGAATGGGGGTGGAGGAGAAGGAAGAAGAGAAGGCATTGGGGTGGAAGAGAAGTCACCCCATGGCACCATTTCACCCATAAAATTTTAGTTCTCTTGGTGTATTTCGAGATTATTTTCTTTAAATCAACACTGCACTGCATTATATATTGTCAATATGTACAATATATTTCAAAATGACCAATAATTTGCTTGGAAACAGAAAAAAAGCATTTAGTTGGAGAGTCTCAAGCAAGATGTTACCTCCAGTGAAAACAGAGAGAGACTGACGCCTGTTTGCTGTGTTAAGAGGCTGGATGCCGCGCATTAAACTAGTCACTTTACCTTTAATTATGTTCAATAATTGTTAAAATGACTAAAAAATTGAATATTAAACTTTTAAAATTATTGAGTTGTATAAACTTCATGATATTTACTAAAATAGTAAGGAATTTAAGCCCTAGAACCGATTAATGTATTGGTGGACTGATACTAAAGCTGGTTGCCCGGCCAGTGCAAGCGAAAACATGTTGAGGTCAGTTCGTAAGAAATTCGTTAACCGAATTTTTGTTCGTTAACCGAGGCATTCGTTAAACGAGGGGTCACTGTACTGGAAAATAAGAGGTATTTCTGGTAAAATACTGGAACACATTTTCAGTAACGGCTATTGGAGATTTCCGGTATCAAGAACTGGGTTATTGAGAAAGAGTACTAGTTTATATGTATACAGTATATGCATGCGTGTATGTATCAATACATTTTCCTTCAACTGGATTACTTGGTTACCATCAAACCACAAGAATACTTATGTTGTCGTCTTGGCTGATCATATTATGCTTGAATAAACTGGACTGCTCTTTAATCTGGCTATTGGCTCTCAGTCACCAAGCAAGTACTGTACAGGATAATTGGTGCTCTCATGCTTAAATGAGATACAATGCAGCTGCTCATTGGTGCTCTCAGCAAAAGCATGGAATGATGACTGCTGATGGGTACTCTCACTCATTTGGTGGCTTTCTGTACACTTCATCATGCTAAAACCTACCTCATCCTAGCTAAGGTTTTCCATTTTCCCTGTCTTCTTGGTGTAATGCAAAGTATTTGTTGATTTATTTTAAGTTTCTATTCTGGTGTTATGCTGAAGTGTTAAGTCTCAGAACTTGTGACAAGCCAACTCTAAAATGTTAGAAAATTTTTGGACCTTTTTGTTTTATTTTACTCACACTTCTTGACCGGTGTAGGTTGAAGGATTCAGCATGAGTGGTCGAGTAACCAAGAATGAAGGTGGAGAGGCTGTGTCTGGAGCCAAAGTTTTGCTGGACAAGACACGTACAGCAACCACTGACATTGATGGATTTTATACCTTTGACAACATTCAATCAGGAAAGCACAAGATTAAAGTTTCAGCAGGTTAGTTATGCAGATACCTGTACTGAGATCTATTTTTATGTAGCAGTGGAACAAGAGCTGGGAGGAACTTCTTGGCATTGAAATTAAGAAATTGAAGAAGGTTGAAATTGTTAAGGTTAATGATTTTTCACATTCATAATAAATTGGATCTGAATGCCATTATTGAACCCACAAAGTTTGGAGTGAAATGCATCCCAAATGAATACTGTATGTGGCAAACTACATGTTACTTCCAAGTGAACCAAATGATTATTTATTCTAATTCTCATTATACAGTATTTAGTGTTTTCTGATTTTTCTGGATGGTGTCTAGGTTCATTATATGGTATCATTATGAACTAATTGAGTAAACTGGACTAATTTTATGAAAATTTTGAATAATTCAAAGTTTATTTTTTAATATTGCCCCCAAAATATTAGCAGAATAGATAAGGTCCTGTTTATCCAGACTACCCAGTTTAGTTAATTCCAGTTTAACAGGATTACTGTATATAGCACCCCATTGGCCTTGGAAGTTAGAAGTTAAATTTGATAAATCCTCTTGTTTTACCTATTTTATTGTTAATGACATCATGAAGTTGTAGGATAAATGGAATTAATAATACAGTACTTAAAATAAATTCCCTTAAACTAATACTGAAAGACGGACATAATTAGTCAGTTCATTGATTATGGTTTTTAAATAGAAGGTGATCTCAGAGATGCGAGTGTGTTTATTATGTCTTACACTAGAGGTATGTGACAAAAGAACAATACAGTACTAAAACAAATTGATTGACAAACTAGTTGGTAATTGAATTTCAATATCTTCTCAATACAGTAAAATCTCTCTGAAGGTGCAACTATTGATATGCAAGGTATTGTGTTGTGTTATATATTTTTACTGGTTTATTTTATGAATATAGATTTAGTTGTCTGAATAGCAGCAGTCATTTTCTAAGGGTCTTATAGTGTTGATCTGAACTTTTATTAACCTGTAAACTTGATTTTGAGATAATTGATCATCTACAGTACTTACATATCTGAATAAATTAAAATTAATAAAAACTGCCCAGCACCATAAATAAATATTACGGTCTCCAGGAGGTCCTCATTATCCAAGTCATCGATATCCGTGGTTTCGCGTTTGCGAGGCCAAATAATTGCTAAACTACACATAAAATGTCCCTGGAAGTCTCAACAGAGAATCATATAAATCTCCTGCTATATTGACACTCGTCCCCCTTACCCCTGCTGCACACTCGCTCTCAGTCATTTGCCCACTGTAAACAATACCTAATCTCATACGGTTTTCTATTATTTTCGTGTGTATTCTTGAAAAGTCAATGCTGCTGTTTTGGCCACGAATTCAAAGTGCAGTGCAAATGCTAAATTAAGTGTCGTCCCTAAAAGGAAGCATAGCAGCTATGGACTGGACGTGAAATTGGATGTTCTTCGTCGGAGGAAAATTAGTGAGTGTGTGTGTGATAAACATCTCACCTGCTCTTGCGATTCCTGAGTATAAATGATAAAAGGTACCCGTATAAAAAAAAATCATTTGTGTGTCATTTAAAATCTTATGGTCCCAATCAAACCCTATTCTCATTATTTATGGCCAGAAATTCCCCGCTTTAACACTTTGGCTGTGGGAGGTTACCCTAAGATGAATAAAATCATCTCGAATAAAATGGCAAGTGTGGGAAACGCAGCGAAAGGGTTAAGTGGATTCACTTTAATGGCAATTTTCTGATTCCTATTGGTCTCAGATAATGAGGACTCCCTGTACTCACCATGAGTTACTGTAGGTAAGTGTAGGTGATGCAGACAATTCTGTTTATAGCATGAGAGTTGCTTCCATGTGTCTGGCAAAATAAAACATGGTTCCAACCTTCAACCCCTTCACTATGGGATGCCACTTGTAATATATTTAGCTAATGCCAGATGATTTTATTTTGCTCAGAGGTGACCCCACACACAAGGGGTCAAGTTCAATAGATTTCTGTGTATGATTTAGATTGGTGAATATGTACTAAACACGCCCAATTTAGCACAATTATTGTAAAGAGTGTAACTATTCTATACACACTTGTCAAATAATGTTAATAGTTATAGCACAGTCAATTTGTAGCCCAAATACAGTGCAGTTAAATTATGCAATTTTCAATTACAGTAAGTTCTCGTTTCATTTCGGGGTTACGTTCTTGAAAACGCGACATTATACGAAACAACGATAAACGGATCAATTTTCCCCATAAGAAATAGATAAAATACGAGAGTTACGTTCCTCAGCCCCCCTTTGCCCCATGAAAAACATTACATATACAAAAAATCATTGCCATTTCTATAGAAAATAGTATAGCATAGATACAGTGGGGTCGGGATATATAGCGACTTTATTTAAAGATTTTTTTATATCGCAGCTACCAAAATTATCGACATTTTCCTATACAGCTACTCCCCGACTTACGACCTACTCGACTTATGACCACCCGGACATACGACCGCCTCTTTCGTACCAAAATTGTATCAAATTACGTATTTTCGAGTCCTAACGTCAGTGATTGTGCTGTGTACTGACAAAATTTTTGTTTGTAATTCACTTTAAAATGGCTGGCAAGCTTAAAAGTGAGAGTTTTGTGGTGCTGAGAAGAAAAAGAGACACCCATTTTAGATTTGCTATGTATTATTTAAGCATTTTCGACTTATGACCTGGATTTGGGTCCCTAACCCCATTGTAAGTCGGGGAGCAGCTGTATATAGCGATAATTTTTTTATTTCGCTAGGGGAATCGGGCAGGAAATTATCGAAATTTTCCAATACAGTGGTCCCTCGGTTAACGAATTACCTTCCATAAGAATCTTCAATTCGGTTTACGAAAAGAAAAATTATTAACGAAATCCATACAAAAATCACATTTTGTTTTGAACATCAGCTGATAAGCTGAGGAGATACTCAGCCAATTCAGTGATCTCTTCTATGTTTACATTCAAATTAATCACTCTTATAAGAATTCCTGCAATGCAAATTAAATTCAGCCCGGTCACTTCTATTAAATTTTATAAGCAAAAAAAAAAAGAAACTCAATCTAAAGGACATAAATTAACAATTAAGTAAATACTTCACACCACAGGCGCCAACTGTCAAACATGTCACTGTCACCCCTCCCTCCCTACCCCCCCACCCCCCACCTTCCTGAGAAACGTTTGGGGAAAAAGACTAGGTTTACAGGTTTAAAAATAAATAATACCTCAGACTAAAGTTAGGATAATATAATTTGCATTGCTGAAATCCTTACAAGACAGGGAATAATTTGAATATAAACGTCATGTGTTTTGCACAAGAGATAAAATTAATCACCTGTATCACATTACAGTAGTGATTTAAGAGTTCTAGTGTATATGTATGATATATATAGTGATTTAAGGGTGATTTAGGGGAATTTTAGGAGTGTTTCTGACTTTATGCATTTTGGGCTTTACTTTGTATATACAGTCTGCGCGGAATGTTAGTTCGTGTGCTGAAAAAATATTGATATTTACGATTATGTTATATAAATAAAGTCAAGTAACACTTACCACTTCAATTAATACTTTGTAGTGTTTCCTCTGCGCTTCAGATAGTCTTTTAGCCTTCGAGGAACACTGTCAGCAAGGTTTTGCAAGAGGTCAGGTGGCAAGTTAGCCCAGGTATCCTTGATGGCTGCCTCTAGCTTCGGGATTGATGATGTGTCAGCGTCGTGTAGACGACGCTTAACAAATTTTCTATTGGGTTAAAATCTGGGCTACTGCCAGGCCAGTCATTAAAGAAAGGTACCTCACAGTCTTTGAGCCACTGTATGACACTTTTAGCAGTGTGGCATGGGGCACCGTCCTGCATGAAAAGGCTTGCCTTAGCTTTATCAAATGATTCAGGTAAGAAATCACTGAGCAGTTCAAGATAGTTGTACTGATTCATCATCTGGTTCTTAGGGAGGATTACTAGTTCACCAACACCATAATACGTAAAGGAAGCCCAAACCATAAGCGAGGCAGGGTGCTTAACAGTCTTCACTGTGTACTGTGGGAGGTGCGCGTCTGAGTGGGGGGGGGCGGTACACCCTCCCTCCATTACTCCCAGTCACAGAAAACGTAGCCTCATCCGACCATAATACACTCCTCCATGTCTCTAAATCCCACACTTCATATTTCTTGCAAAATTTCACTCTATTTTCCTTCTGTCTCTTTGTCAACAGAGGTTTACGGCGGGCACGAAAGCTCTTAAATCCCAGGTCATCGTGCAGGGCTTGTTGAACACAACGTAACGAGACGTGACTCAAAAGACGGGGGTTTCTCTCTTTCACTTCACGTGCTGTGAGTGAGGGATTGGACCGAACTTGTCGAGAAATAACCTTAAGTGTCCGTGGAGACAATAATTTAGGCCTACCAGACTTAGGTAATGGAGCTGGTAACTCGTCCTCTCCAAGGTCACGGAAACGTTTGACAAGATTTTGAACAACTCGTAATGCCACACCAGTCTGAGCCGATATTTCTCTCAGTACATGGTTCGCTTTGTACAATGCAATCACTGCTGCAATATCGTCTCTTGTAGTAACCCTCCTGGACATCTTTGATGGCCATTATGTCGGGTTAATGCACCTTAAACTAGACAAAACATGGCCACATGGCACGGGAACCCGCACAATAAATATTCCTCTCACAGCTGCCAGAGACGCACTGACTACAAGCCGTGATGTGTTCTCAGTTGCCAAATGTCAGCACTTGCCAACAAACCAAGCGTTTTGACATCTCGCATCCCAGGACAGGCTTCACAACATATTATCTTATTTTTGCGAGAACTTAGTTCGTCGGCCCTATCGTGACTTAACATTCCACGCAGACTGTACTTTTCTGTGAGCTGGAACCAATTACCCAATATCCCATTGAAACAATGGTTTTGGTTAACAAAATTTTCGGTTAACGAACGACCTTCTGGAACGAATTGTGTTCGTTAACCGAGGGACCACTGTATATAGCGATAAATTTATTTACTGTACTGCTTCTAGTACAAGTTGTTTTAGTTGTACTGAGAGTAGTACCACTTCCAGCACACCTTAATCTTGTCAGCGTTGGTCCGGATAGTACGCACCGTTGTGGGAGTTAGACCAAGCACAGCGGCTATGTCCACAGCGCGTTCCTCTTTTTCAAATTGGGTTAATACATCCATTTTCGTAGCAAGTGTAATGGTCTTACGTTGCCTCTTCACTACACTAACATCATTAGCACTTGATGGGTGCTTGGAAACCATTTTGAATGGTTTATAGTACAGTTTTAGAGCAAAAGCACTTAAGCACACACGAATGATGTGAAGTCTTAACAGACTGGTTTGGCGTCGCTTGAGAACGCTGTGACGTTCTGCGAGTGAGGGCAGCGCGCCGAGCCGAGAGAGTGTAGCGCAGCCAGACAAGAGCGGGTGATGCGCTGTAGAAAGTAGTCCGTGACCACGCAAAACGACGTAGTATCGGATCCCCGGGACGTTAAACAAATTTTTGGTCTCTTTAAAGTTTAGCGACGTAGTACCAAAACAATGTTAAGCGGGACGACGTTATACGAGGATGCACTGTACAATAACCCACCGATACATTTACAACTGTATAATAGTCTATTGTTCTAAGTGTTTTAGTATTGTACTGTAGTATTGAAGAAAAAAATTTTGCCCTTTGGCACAGTTATCATGAGAACTGAGCACTTTTTTTTTCAACATCAGTTATGAGATACAGTAGACCCTTGATATTCATGGGGGTTAGGTTCCTGAAAACCCAAGAGAATGCAGTAACCACGAATATAGAAACCATAGTTCAGTAGGGAAAAGGGGGTTAGGTTCCTGGTATGACTGAACTTAGGGGATGGGGAGATTGTAAATGTTTAGAACAATGACTACCACAAACACTGTAAAGGCAGTCAGGGGGTTGTAAACCTTATAGTAGAAGCAAAATTCATGAATCCAGAAACTGCAAATATCAAGCGTTACTGTACTGTGCTGTGCTGTACTGTACTGTACTGTACTGTACTAAACATGGGTGGAATGTGTGAACTTTTATCATGCAGAACTCCATCATGACTGCAAAACATCACATAGCTGCAATTTATTTATTTATTTAATTTTTTTTAAATGATAAATTCTTCCATAGATAAGTTTGAATTTGAAGAAGCAGTATTGAGCATCAACCCACAGCAGCCAGTCGTAGATGATATCTCCCCAGCACGTTATGAAGTTTGCTTCTCTGTGACTGTAGAGAAAACAGCTTCACACACTGGACCTTGGTGGGTTATTCTGTGTTTTGTAAATTTGTCCTAGCTCAGTGGTAGAGTGTGCCATACCGCAGTGGTAGAGTGTGTCATACCACAGTGGTAGAGAGTTTACCTTAGACATAAATACAGTAGTACCGGAGTTGATCCCTGAATGGAGTACAGTATACTGTGCTTGGATTCATCCCTGTACATACAGTAACCTTTACACATTCAATATGCCATAGCTCTGCCCGAGTCTCTTGTTTTCACCCCAAATGCACATTAATTTTGAAGTTTATGCTATGTGTTGTAGACTTATAAGAAACAAGAGTGTAAGTTTGTTAAACTCAAAAAAAAAAATTTTTAAACCAGTTTTTGTGATATAGTCCAGACTGCAACGTCTAGCTTTATACCTAGGTATGTAAATGCGTAGCATTAACTCGCCAGGCCAACATACAGACAATTGAAATATCTAATAATTACTTAAATACATAATATTAGGAGGACACGTCGGTACCTAGCATTTAATTGCAATTCTCAAAACCCCCTCCAGCACCCTCCACCACACGCATTGCTACCGTCATCTTCTTGCCTGGTGGATCAGCTGTAAACATGCACAAGGAAAGCTCCGCTAATTTGTGTTTTAATACCTGAAATATTAAGTGTCACAAGGATTTTATTTTTGGTATTTATACATCTTAGCACGGTGAGGAAATCGAGTGACTTTTATTTTGATTCTGTCTCTCAGATATTGTGTTTGGGGCAATTTTTTATACGGTCTGGTCAAGAATGGCAACCGCGGCTTGTCTTCTATCTAGGAAGACAGTCGATCTTTAGTGACTAATATGTGAGTATAGCTGGTTCACTCACATACATACAGGTAACAAACATTATTACTAGTGATGATAACATTTACAGTCTCAATAATTTACCTGGGACAATTATATTTATTTCTGATAATCCATCTACAATAAATCACACAAGAATCATTAGCCCATACAGTTAGGATGAGTACCCCAGGCTTACACCCCTGGTATTCAAAGCAAATGCTGGGTGGCTACACTCTGGAGCTGCGGCCGGGCTAGGTGCTCAAGAGCAAATCTGCGAACCTGCACTCTCGCTCCCTGGAGTGTCCCACACTCAGATATTAATCCAGCTATAATAAAGACATCCTGCCCCGGGCATCTTGCCTGCAGGTGGCTACCGATGCTTGGCAGCAGCAACAACACATATGGTGCCTGTTAGGCGAGGAAGGAGTGTCAAGAAGTTGCGAAATCAAAACACAAAATGTCACAAAGCACATCTGGCAAGGGAACGAATGGATCATTCAACACAGAAGGCGCTCATTTACATTAAGATATTCAACTACATTAAAACATGAACTAATATATTCAGCAAAGTTCAACCGAGTTAAATTCACTTAATATGGCAGTATACGGCACTGTGCACATACCTATTAGGCGAGGAAGGAGTGTCAAGAAGTGAGTTCCTCTCTCCTGCACTCACTTATATATGCATTGATGCCATATATTGGACTCAGTGACGGTACACATTGGGTTATGAGAATCAGTGTCATAGTTCACATCAATTTCTTAAGGTTAACACTTACAATCTAATCAGTGTTTGAGTTTGCAATGCAATGATTAAATTAATATAACTACTGTATTGAGATTAGCAATCAAATTTCGGGCTGACTCAACTAGGAGACAAACAAGGCCCTTTGATGCCCAGCTGTTACACGTCAGAGCAGTGGGCAGTTGACAGGTTTCTCTCAAATGATTAATGACTTTTTTAAATACAAAACTGACAATAATTTCAATACAGTCATTGCATTCTCTGATGACTGTGAATCAAAGCAATATGATCAGTGGTGAGTAGGCATCTCGTAACATCTCGCAAGGCAGAAAATGGATTCTCACCTCTATTGCAAACTCTAACACTTAACTTCTTGATAATTTCACTACAAATAAGTATAGTTGGAGTTTTCAGCATCACTCACAATGGATTTTGAATGTTTCAGCTATCGGCAGGTATATACGTTTATCCTACAGTAATACATACGCATTCATTAGTAATTTTAAATATACAATCACAAACATAAGATTTCTTGAGGTACTAAAGCAGACGATAGAGAAAACGGACATCTCAGTGGGGGCAATTGAGCGTAATATTTATCATCTGATTTTACGCTAACTAACACGTATGACTGGTTAATACAGCAGTCTTTCAACAGAGGTTGCGTCGGTAACAGGAATGGTTTTTCCATTTTGGTTAACATTGGGTAGAGTGATCCAGACCCAAATGGCACCCTTAGAGATACATCTGCTGGCTCACAAGGCTAGTGGAGGAACTTAGGTGGTTGATAGGTCTGATCCACTGTTCCAGCATTTCTGCTTATGGGAGGGGTTCTCTCAGTGTGAGATATAGCTGAGCGGGAGGGGATAGGCCAGGACGGGAGCGCTCAGTGACACAATCTGCGTCAACAGACCACAGGAGGGTTAAGTGCATATAGTACACTCCACTTCCTCATATGATTACTGTCCTATATCTCTAATGATACAGCTGAGTTTGAATTGCACAGCATTTCTTAGAATGTCTTGTTAAGCTGTTATCTATCTCTCATAGGTAGTTCTTTAAATCTTTTAATACCTGTTATATTGCATAAAAATCTTTTTCCATTTTAATTGATTGTATTTTTTGGCAGAGGTTACAGGTTGTTTGTAATTATTCATCTTGATAAAATATTAACCAAATAAAACAACAGTGCTTTGTATTGTAAAAGTTTCTTTATTGTGATTGTTAAGTAAAAGTACACTATTTCCTCTTAATAATTAGTGATATGACTGGTTCAGAGGGCCAAATAGTCCTTTTTCTACCATTTATCAGCCAAGGCACCCAGGGGAACTCATTGTAGCTATTAATTGGTCGATTGCATAGGAGAGCTTATTCTTACCTCTAATTGGCCCTCTCACTGAGTGTGACTATATTGCTATGTTTGGATGGTATTTTTTACACCAACTTTTATGACACAATAATAGGTGTTCTGGGCAGATACCAAAAACATAAATATTATTGAAGGATGCAGATACTGTAGTATGAAAGGTTTAACGTCTGGAGTCATTGATACCACCTTTAGTAAAAAACAAGTGATCGCAGGCACCTTTGTGCCCAGTGAAAGCTTGAACGCTCGTGCTTGGAAAGCATATAGCGAATGAGGGTGCGCCAAGTCCGTAGACTTGCATCTTTTTCCATCGTAAATAAAATGGTTAACTAATGCCTTCCTAAAGAAACCATTGACATGAGACCAGGTTTGTTCCACTCTACGAATTTTTTGCGATTTTTCCACCAAGTTTGATGAAAAAGATTGTGCCGTTTCGGCTGCCCAGAACAGACAGACAGACAGACAGACACACACATGCCTAGTCCTATTGTATATTAGATCACTCAGTTTTAACTAGACTACGTTAAGTTTTTTGATGATTTACTGTACAGTATACAGTATGTATCGGTTTCAAATTTACACAATTTTCAGTGTACTGAAACTTTCTGAAATTAAAAGATTTGAGTGTGTGTGTGTGTGTGCATATACAGAGGGTATGCATGCAAATGTACAGTTTTTTATAAAGAAGAATGACTGGCAGTAACCCCCCCCCCCCGGGTGATAAATTGAGAAAAAATAAACTTTTCCAAAAATAATAATAAAATAAAAATAGGCGGACATTCTGGAACGTCACCCGGGGCCTAAAGGTTAAGAAAATCTGCATTTTGTACGATTGAAGATTAATATAAAATTAGTTCCCAGGAGTATGAGCTTTGTTGTATGTTTTTCAGGATAATTCAAGTTCATAGTGATTCTGGAGCTCATCTGGAGGTGCAGACAGATGTGGAGGGTCAGGGATGCACCCACCTTGCTGCAGGTTCCTATACTGCTGCTGTTAAACTCTCTTCAGCTGCTGATGAGGCAGGCATGAGGTATATTTTGAAAATGATCCAATGGCTTCATTTACATTTAAAGTTTTGTTTAGTCTTTACAAACAACAAATATAAACATCATTCAGTAGTACATCACATTACTTGTCTAACAGAAATTCTGGTACAGTATAACTAAACTTTTGCCAACTGGGTCAAGAGATGCACGAATCTAAATGTGGAGGAAAGGAGAGCTAAGAGTAGGCAAAGAATGATTAGGTTGTAAGAAATGGCATGACATAGTGTGTTTTACAACCATAGTCTTGAAACTATAGAATGGTCTTGTCTTTCCCTCACCCTGCACAAAGTGCAGGCAGCTACCTAATTAAAAGCAACTCCTTTCCCCTTCATGCATCAAGACTGTCAGATACTAGAAGACAGGCATGGGAAATGCCGTCCCTCAGTTTAAAAGTACAGCCCTTAGAATTTCAATGCAAGGAGAAACACCTCCCTCAAATCTAACCATAAGAAAAGAGATCAGGTGATGGTAATGGTGAAGTTCCTTAATTTTACAATTCATAAGGATAATAGATACCAAAGGTTTCAGAGATGGGAACCAATTTCCACAACCATAATGATAACCCTCTCCCTGCCTGGAAATGTGTGTACTCGTGCTGTGTTGCTTAAGACTCGTTAGCTCCCAATGTTGCAGGTCTCTCTAATTCCTTAAAGTACTTCAGTTACTTTCAGAGGAGAAGTAATCTTTAGTTAACTCCCCAGGGCTTCCTTGGGTTCTAAACCACAAGCTTTGCAGACATATTCATGAGTTGTTCCATCCGGGCTTGGTTATAAAGTGAGTTATCAGGATCCATCAAACCTCTTCTTTTTTTTTTTGCCAGGTATTGGTGTCATCTAGCTACAATTTAATGTAAGTTAACTACTGTATTCAGTTGACTATAACTTTTTCTTCCAAAACAGCGGGTTGGCTTCAGTGTTTATTATTTTAGTTTTCTTTTCTTTTCAGATTTGGTCCCCTTGAACATGTGTTCAGTGTTGAGTCAGATCCTATTGGTCAGTTGTCTTTTTCACAGTTCTTAGGTGAGATATCTGGCAAGATAACATGTTTGGAGAAGTGTCCCGATTTGACTGTGATTCTCAGATTTGCCCGGGGAGGTTCTGGTGCACCTCGAAGCACTGTTGCTGTCAATGGAAAGTTTTCCTTAACTGATGTTGTGCCTGGCTCTTACCAGTTAAGCGTCCAGAAAGATGAATGGTGTTGGAAACTTAAGACAATACCCGTAATTGTGAATACACAAAATGTTGAAGTATCACTAGAGCAGGTAGGCTACCAACTGACACTTGCTTCCTCTCATGAAACCACTCTAAGTTATACTACCAGTACTGGAGCCTCTGGGACAGTGGTTGCTCAGAAAGGCAGCACATTAGTGTGTATGTCTGCCTCTGGTATATACACCCTCACACCTGTTGGTTGTCATAAGTTTGGATCAGCACAGATTCAATGGGACACAGCTTCACCAAGTCTTGTAACTTTATCAGCCACCAAGCACCAACTGACTGGGGCTGTTAGAGCTACAGAAGTGGCACCCTTCACTGTTGGAGTGAAATCTGGTAGTCAGATTAATATTTTGGGACCTCTCAATCCATCCCCAGAAGACCCACACCTCTATGTATTTGAGCATTGGGTGCGTGAAGGTGAAACCATTACTTTGACTCCAGGCTCCCCCACCAATTTGTATCAGTATGAACCAACATCTCATACTATCACAATGCCAGCAGACTGTGTGCTTGACACAGTTACTTTTCAGGCAGAACGTGCTCTTTTCATTCATGGACGAGTAACACCTCCCATAGGTGGTGTGACTATCAATGTTGAAGGTAATGGAAATATTCACACATACACTACCGATGCATCAGGGAAGTACACAGCTGGTCCTCTTGACAATTCTGTTCAGTACACTGTTACAGCTGAAAAGAAAGGCTATGTGATGAATGCCCTGAGTGAGAAAGGACATTTTGAAGCTTACAAACTAGCAGAAGTCGTTGTATTAGTGAAGGATGAGAATGGAGCATCTTTGCCTGGAGTTCTTGTATCGATGTCTGGCGGAAAAAGCTATCGACAAAATAGTCTGACGGAGAATGATGGCACAATTGGTTTCCTTTCACTGACGCCTGGTGACTACTTCCTCCGACCCATGATGAAGGAATACATGTTTGATCCACCTTCTAAGATGGTTACTGTGGATGAGGGAGCTACAATTATGATGAGTATCAGGTGAGAATTTTCTTGTACAGTACTGTGTTTCAAATAATTTTCCCAACCCAGAGCCTGTGTTTTGGCACATTCTTTATTCTATTTTATGTATAGCTCAACAGTATTATAAAATGATGTGTTCTAGCTGCCTTCTATCAAGTGAGACAGGATTAGCATGCATAAGGGAAGTACAGGTAAATGATATGGATCTGCTTTAAGTTTGTATTGTGGAAAAGAGTACTGTCCTATTGCTTTTCCTAATTATTATGGGTTGATTTTTTGAATTGGTAGAAGACTAAACACGCTTGAAAATTAGGTAGAAGTATGTTAAGTAATGACCCAGGGCCAAGGAGTGGGGGCTATGACTGCCTCATACACTATCAATGATAGCATTGATGGCCAGAAGGTGAGACAGATTAAGTTGCTGTGCTACTGAAGAATGGCATATAAAGACACTGAGTTATTATACTGTATTAGCTAATTTGTTGTAGCAAATTAAAGTCAATTTGGGGGAAACTTGAGCTGATTTTTCATACAGGAACACTTATTGATCATTATTTTTCAAAATTCACTTGTTCACCAAATGGTCAGTCCCAAAGGTGTGTGAACTAGAGAATTTTTACTGCACAACACTTATATATTGCCTAATGAAATATATTTTTAAAAAGTTTTTAAGATACAGTAGTTAGTTGACACTTCATGGTGGACCAGTTTTGAAGGTGTTCTGTCACAGATGCTTATGTTGTTACTGACTTGATGGAGAGCTTCTGGTTTAAGTCATCACACCATCTTTCAGTTATATGAGGTCACTGCCAGATGCCGATATGAGGAACTTCATGTCATTTTCCAGGGGACCCTTAATATATTTATTTAGTTTTTAACCCTTAAGCCCCGGGTTAGGGTGCTGGTGGTAGTACCCCCCCACCCGGGGTTAAATCGAGAAAAATCTAATTTTCAAAAAATAATTTTAACCTTTTAAAATGATAAAACAATACAAAATAAGGAAGAAAAACTATATATTGACCCTCGAGAAACTTCTCTGGCCGCTCAGAGGGAGGGAGGGGGGGGGAGAGATAAGGAGACAGTGTTGGTTTGACAGCTGATGCTCGTGGTCCCTCGGCACTTAGCAACTATTTTTAGCTCACCTTTGAGTCCGAAGTGGCCAATAATGTATGTATTTACTGATCTTAATACTTATTTGCTATAAATAATTCATTTAGAATATTTTATTTGCGTAATTTTTCATAAAAAAGTGCTTGGCAACACTCACCAGTCGGTCGCCAGTCTGCCTGGCTGTCTTTGTGTTTGGTAGAGCAAGTAATGCATAAAATAATAATAATTCCACAAATAAAATCATTTATAACATAATCATAGCATTGTTTTACAGTAATACTACCCTACAATACAAATACAGTACACAACTTTTATCAATATTACTTTGATACAACATGATAAAATCGACAAACAATGAAAATTAAACAAACAAAAGTAGGTAATTATGTTCAGGAAGCTTCCCTGTGGCCAAGTGTGTGGTGTGAGAGGCAAATAGTCACACTTGAACCTGATAACCCACGCTGGGCATTTAAACAATGGCGGGAATAGGCGCGCGTTCTGGAACGTCACCCGGGGCCTAAGGGTTAAGAACAAATGATGGGCACACCTTACTTAACCAAAATTACCATATGATTGTTAGGTTAAGTGTAGTTGGTTTGTGTATAAAAATTAATGAACATATTTGAGGTACTTTGCTTACATTGTATTTCTTGCATGCCAGAGAGCCTTTCTTCTACGAACAAATATTAACATGTGTGAGTTAAAAGTTTCAGACATGTAAAGATATACAGTATTTGTATGTTTTTGATGTCACACGTACACTTTTCGGTAAAAGGACTAATATGTGGAAAACAATAAAAGTAAGTACATACAGTGATCCCTCGGTTAACGAAATTTCGGTTAATGAATTACTTTCCATAAGAATCTTCAACTTGATTACCGAACAAAAATTTGGTTAACGAAATCCTTACAAAATCGTGTCAACATGTTTTCGCCTGCTCACCAGTTGGAGTATTAGTCCGCCAATACTGTACAGTAATCAGTTTTAGGGCTTAAATTCGTTACCATTTGAGTAAATATCAAGAAGGTTGTACTATTCAACAATTGTAAAAGTTTTATATTAAATTTTTTAGTCATTTTAACAATTATTTGACATAATTGAAGTACAGGGAACTAGTTTTTAGCACGCTAAACAGCCACTTGACTCGCCCAGAATGGCATCAGTTTGTGTCTCTGCTCAGTGGAGGTAGCATCTTGCTTGAGACTCTCTTGAACATAAACTATTTTACATTTTTACAATACAATTATTGGTCATTCTGAAATTTATTTTACATATTGACAAAATATAGTGCAGTGCAGTGTTGATTTAAAGAGAATAATCTTGAATTACATCAAGTGAACTTAAAATTTTATGGGTGAAATGGCGGCATGAAGCATGGGGTGACTTCTCTTCCACCCCCACTGCCTTCTCTTCTCCCTTCTCCTCCACCCCCACTTCTAATTCCCATCATCATCATCATCAACCAGGAGCCTTCTACATGCACACCTCAAAGTAAGTGTACTTTACTGCATTTATTTTTAGTTTTTATGTAATTTTCGGTGAGCTGGAACCATTTACCCAAAATCCCATTGAAACACTGGTTTCAGTTAATGAACGACCTTCTGGAACGAATTGTGTTCGTTAACCGAGGGACCACTGTACTGAAGATGTAAATTGCTGCAGATTTCACTTTATAAATTTTAGGCTACTTGTACATTTTCATTCTGATACATACATTGGTTAAGGTGATGGATGTATGACATGATTTAGGCTTGTTATAATTAATATATGAGTGAATACTGTGTGTCACTTCTGTTTAAACTACAGTTTGTTTCCTATATTGCAGCGGATCACGTGTAGCTTACAGTGTTTACGGACAAACTGTTTCCCTGATTGGAGAACCTGAGTCTAATGTTGTGGTGGAGGCAGTAGGTAAAGGCCATGATTGCAAGCAGTACCAGGAGGAAGCTGCCTCTGATGAACAGGGTAGCTTCAGGATACGAGGATTGCTACCAAAGGTAATTATTTTAAACTCTTTTTACATTTTGTCTTCATACTCGAAAATATCTAATTCCCAGAACTTCTTTCCACCAGTAATTCATACTCCTAATATTTGAAATCACTCATAATTCATAATGTTTTGCTGGTACAAAATATATATCACAGTCTCACCTCGACATACGACATATGCGACTTATGACAACCCGGACTTACAACGGTCATTGTCGTTATATTATATTAAAGTATTTTACATTATTTTTGAGTCCAGATGCTTGGTCGTAATGTCTAACAACGCCTTAAGACAGCTTCGGCTGGCACTCTGCCGCATGTGTACAGCATCCACGTTGTATCCCGCTCAGTTTGTGTATTAAAAAGGTAAAAGTTTTACAATTATTATCTGTACTGTGTATTATTTTTGTCGGTTCCACTTACGACTCAATCGACTTACAACCTGGTAGTCGGAACTGAACCCCGTCGTAAGTGGAGGAGAGACTGTATATATATATATACACAGTGAACCCTCACTTTACACGGTCAATTGAACCCACGGCGGCCCGCGTAAAGTGAGAAACGCGTAAAGTGAACAACATAACATATGGGATTAATTGAAATAGAGACCGGGCCGACCCCCAAACTCCACTTTTTCAGACACAATACTTACGTTGTAGTAAAAATAACTTCTTAATTTTATGATGGTATGCACACACAATTAATAATTAAGAGAAATATCAATAATATTAGGTTTTTTAACCCTTACATTAGTAGATAAGATGGCTGGGCACACGGGGATGGGGGGTTGGTTCCGAGGCAGAGGGCAGATTATTGGCCCTCACCTGTATCACTTGTATCACTATCCACCACAGAGGCTTGCAGGGCCTCTTTGTCAAACCCCTCAAAGTTCATATAAGTCCATATCCTCACTATCATTATCACTATCACTGACTTGGGCCGGCTGTGGTGGGTGGTGGGTGAAGAACTCGGTAATGTTTTGATGACTGGGCGACCTTGTGCGCACCCTGCTCGCGCCGCTCTCGGCGTAAAAGGGTACACACACCGCGGAAAGTGAGCATTCCGTGTTCGGCAGGGTACCGCGTAGACGTGGATACGCGTAAAGTGGGACCGCGTAAAGCGAAGGTTGACTGTACAGTGCATATTGTATACAGAATTGTATATTGTTTATTTATAATACAGAACAGTAATGTACGTGTACAGTGGTGTTTGCATAAATAAATAAAGCTCTGCGTCTGTCTGTGCAAGATGCATAGTTTAGGCTCTTTGAAATTATACTCCATTTCTCAGAAAAATTCCGGGATGAGAAATTTGTCTCTATACCTGGAAACCGCTCATTCCTGGAAGAGCTCTGTACCAATTATTCCAGCTAATGGGGATATCACTTATACAATGAAAATAGTAAAATAACAAAAGGTAAGAGTAAAAGGTAATCTATACCATACTGCCTAATCTCTTTGAAAAGTAGTGAAGCTTTGAAATTGAATGCTCAGATTTAGTTACAGGAGTTAATTTGAATGTTGCTAATTTATTTGCTCTTTTTCAGTGTCAGTATGAGCTGAGACTGAAGGCTGGAAGTGGCATTAATTTGCACGTTCAGCGAACCTTGCCAGCCACCCGTACAGTTCACACTGACAATGAAGATGTACGTGACTTGAAACTCATAGTGTTGCGGCCATTCAACCAGATGGATGTTGCTGCAAAGGTGGATACAGATCCCCAACACCTATCCTCTTTAGTGGCACATCTGTACCGTGAGGATCTTCCTGACTCTCCCATTCACACCATCAAACTGGGCCTTCATCCATACTTTATGTTACCTCCAATGACTGCAGACAGACGCACTTACTACATACGCTTGGAATCCAACCTACCCACTTCTCAGTATCAATTTACTATCCCAGAAATCACTTTTGTTGCTGATTCTGCATTTAAGCATGTGAACCTCAGTTTTAAGCCAGTATTAAGAGGTGTAGATGCAGAAATGAGTCAAGGAACAGTGGTGGGCTTTGCTATTGCTATTGTTTTAGTAACTATAGCTTTTAATTATGACAAAATGGGTCCAATGGTGGAAAAGGCTTCAGAGATAATAACTAGTTTCTCTGCACCCAGAGCAACTCAAAAATCTTCATCAGTTTCATCAGATATACCTGTCATTGAGGCAGTAAGGAAGAAGGTGAAATCAAGAAAAGTGTAGCAGTCAGATATGAGTAATACAGTACATATGAATGAGGGAGAATCAGGTACATATTTCCTTTGAAAAAAGGTATATTGCACTGCTTTAGTGGTATACTTATTATGTTTGTATATGAAGTTGGCAAAAATGAATTTGTTTAGTTTTGTTTGTACCCCTGTATTGTTTGATTTTCTGTATTAAGATTTATAAGATTCATATTTTTTATTATTAACCTAGATTTGTGAATATTGTCCAGCCATCAAAGTAGCATGCAGTATATGCTGAAAGTCATGATTGTATAAACTAAGAATTGAATACTGGATAAAGATGTTTTTGAAATTTGTTTGCCTTATTTAGTATAGATTTTATACTTTTAAATGTCTTTTTATAATCTGTCATTTTAGAATGACTTTGTGTAAGCCAGGGCCAAACCAAATCACTAACTAACTAACTCCCCTCATGAGTCATGACAACCATCACCCTCAAAAGGGAGGTTAAAAGGCAAAGTTGCTATAAAGCTGGAAGCCTGGTGAAACATTGTGTCACAGCTTGCAGCACAACACATACCCCAGCTGTCTTTCAGCTGCAAAATAGTTTGCAATACCACTCCTACACCCCAGCAAAATTTCTTGTCTCTCACCAGTCAGGTTGAAAGAATTGAGTTCCAGCCTTTTTTTTTTTCACGGGTTTGTGGGACTAGTCTTCCACTGTGCAAGTTTTTTTCTTTGGTCAAGACAGGATTTGTGCCTGCCTTTTCCCTTCAAGTGTTATGTAGGAACAGGCTAGTGCAGTCAGTTTTATATTTTTATACAATCTTTCATAGGTTGTGGAGAACCCCACCCTTGCTTTTAAGAGGAGTGCACTAATATAGTCTGAAGTAAAACTGACTAGGGGGGGCTTATTGTCTTTCCCCACTTGAGAATGTATTGGAGCTTAATAACTGGCTACTCCAGGTTAACACTCATGGGGTTTTCATACGCAAAATAATGTATGATATAAAACCACTTAAGGGTTTTCATACACAAAATTATGTATGATATAAAGCATCACTAGGGTTTTCATATGCAAAATAATGTATGATATAAAGCATTGCTTTAGGGTTTTCAAATGCAAATTTGCATATGAAGTAAAAAAAATGAAAAATATTATATTTGTGTATGCGCAAGACACATATTTGGCAATGTTGACGCGATATGGCAATTATGCAGACTGCCCTCCAAGGTTAAGTTACCACACCAGTCTCCCTCTGTGTTTCAACGATGCAGGACATAACCTTGATCCACATTTCCCACACACTTTCTTGTGGCTTGAGCCGATTTCTCGTTTATCACAGTGATTTCATTTATTCATAACAGTGTTGTGTGAGTTTTGAACCATGCCTCGTGTTGCTGGTGAGGGTGGAGGGATGGGAAAACATAAAAAGTGCAAGGAGATTGCACCACATAGTGATAGTGAGGTGCCTCCTGATGCCTTCTACTTGCACTTAAATATAGAAATAATTATTTTATGGTGAATAATTATATGAAACTGTTTGTAGACTATTTACAATGTTAATGCAACATATCCCACCTTTTTATCTCAAATAACAAGCTTGCTATGACTCATTATGTTCAATTATCTTCCGTGCGGTGCAGTCACGTGCGTCTTGCAAGAGAGCGCCTACCCATACCCAAGAGTGTTAAGGTGCTTCAGTGAGAGTAAGGTTCATTGCATTTTTTCCCCAAATTTGAACTACAAGACTACTCTGTTCGTTTGACTTTCGTGAACTGTAACCAAGAAGCACCCCTTGAGGGATACTTAGGTCATAAGAGCCTTAAGTTCCATTGCTCTCCTTAACATGTAAAAATTATCTAGCTTGTTTCACATGTAATTTAATATAACAGTATATAGCTTGCTATATATTTTGTGTTGCTGTTTTTGGCCTAGGAGTACTATTCTCATAGATAAGATTGTGTTGGTCAGATCTAGACTTGGAGCCTCCTGGAATTTTGGGTTTATAAAGCCATCATCAGCAGTTACATAATTTGGTTATTTTTGATGATGCATTTACTTGTCATGCATCTTTCTAGCTGTCCAGGGCTGCACCAAGGGGTTTGCATGGGGTAGGGGACTTCTAAGGTTAGTTCATGTGACTAAAATCAACTTGGTGGAGCAAAATTCCTGGAGAGGAATATGTTGCACAATACATAGCTGGAATTTCTTTCACCCTCCTCCCTTTTCACAGATTACTGCCAGAACACAAGTTGTTCTAAAATGGAAATTTAATCCCGAAAACCCTTAATATAACCGAGTCATTGAGGAACAGTTTATGTCCTTTCCACCTCCATGGGATGCCTCTGCTAAAGATGGAGTGAGGGTGTTGTACTATGAACTTAGTTTTTAGCCTAGAGATTTAGGGAACAGGTTGTATGGTGACCTGTGAAGCAAAGTAACTCATCAGGCTCCTAAATTTTGGGCAACCTTTACATTAAAGAACAATGATAGCTGCTGTGGAATAGATTACCCTTTGGATTAACCATGAACACCTTAGTTTGGAGTTACATTAGTCAAAATGGCCCCCAGCTGTGGTGGCACTGATATACAAATCATTCCTCAAGGGCTCTATAAAATAAAATTTTAGGATCCTTTCATTTTTATACATGAATTTCCATAGCATCTTATTCCTAGTAAGACCAATGTTATTAGATAAAATGTGACAATTCATATTGAATTTCATCATTCCATAAGTTGATGCTGAAGTGACTTTGGCTTTTCATTTTAGACATGTCTTCAGTAAAGTATAAAATTTCTGAACATATAAGCATTGTAATGAAAATTTGACTTGCACAAGATATACAGTATTGTCATTGTTAAATAAAAATGTCTCATTGTTTTTGTTTTTTACTTTTTCTAGTTATATTTTAAGTCATAAAAATATTGGTATGGAATTTATCAAATAAGTACTTGCAGCATTTTATTGGAAATATGCAATATATTGTTAAGAGTTCCATGGAATTACTTGTACTGTACTGTAATCTCAATGAATTTATATTGAAGATTTAGGGTAAATTTACAGTGACCTCCCCAGTCTTAAGTATATGAGGTCTGTCCAAAAAGAAACCGAACTTTAAAAAAAATAATAATTATTGCTATACTTACAACTTAATCAGACTTGTCTCCTTCAAAGTACTCCCCTCCACTGTTGATACACCTCTCCCAAAGTTTTTTTCTAGTTCTGGAACGTGTCCTGGAACGCGTTTTGAGGGATGGTGTGCAGGTCTCGTAGCGAATTTTCTTCTATCTCCTTATCGTTTGAAATCGGCGATCTTTCAGGATGCATTTCAACTTTAAAAAAAAAAAAAAGTCCACAGGGGCCAAATCCGGAGAGTAGGGCAGCTGGGGGACAATATTCGTCTCGTGCTTCGCCAAAAAGTCACGGATAAGGAGCGACGTGTGAGCAGGTGCATTGTCATGGTGCAGCATCCAGGTCTTGTTTGTCCACTCCTCAGGCCTCTTCCTTCGCACTGCCTCCCTCAAACGCTTCAGGACCACCAAGTAAAACTCTTTATTGACTGTCTGACCACGTGGAACAAACTCACAATGAATGACGCCCTTCCAATCAAAAAAGACGATAAACATCACCCACATTTGAGCGACTCTTGACGTCCAGATTTTGAATCGTCTTCGGTGGATGTTCTTCCCCTTTTGAAACGCTGGTACTATACATGACATTGCTTACGGCTCAAACAATCCTCCCCATAAGCCTGTTGCAACATTTGAAAAGTCTCCTTAAAAGTTTTTCCCAATTTGAAACAATTTCACACAAACACGTTGCTCTTCAAGATCCTTCATTGTTCAACTAGCAACAATTCACCAAGTGCACTCTAGCACGTGTAACTCAATGACTAATTGACATGGCGTGATGCGGCTAGTGTTAGACTAAAGGTCAAGGTCACTGCTACACAGTGCTCCCATTGTTAGCACGCATGCTCCGGCTCGTTGGCGTGCTATTTAAAAAGTTTGGTTTCTTTTTCGACAGACCTCGTAGATTTATTGTTACCATTTCCTTGACAAGCAGTGCAGGAACAAAGAGTTTTCATGTCTGTGGCAAATTAATAATATATTTCTAAATTAATTGATTAATTATTCCATAGTAAATGAGTTGTGTGGGTGGAGGGTATGGTATGGGTGGAGCTGTGAAGGGTGCGGTGTGAATGTGGGGAGAGACCACGTGGTCACATTCCAAGAGATCTCATGAGGTCAGGTCAGGTGGCAGTGGCCATGACAGTAGATTTTCCCTTTGATTTTCTTGTGTCCATTAGCACCTTGACCACCTACCTCACTTAGCTTACCCTCTTATCCCTCCCTCCCCCATCGAATGCCTTTTCTTCTCCCCCACCTTTCCTTCAGGGACTAGGTCTTCCCATTAGACGTCAGTTGCTCTCTGTATATACAGTAAAACCTTGTTAGGCGGACCCTGCTAAGGAGGATATCGCTTTAGCTGGACAAAATTATTTGCCCAAAAATAATACAAAAATTAAAATAATTCAACAATAAAAAAAAAAAAGGAAAAAATTGGTCCTCAGATGATATGTCCGCCTTGAGCTAAATTTTTAAGGGACCAAGGGGTCAACGCACGGGACATAAGTGCCCAAAAGTTATCAATTGTTTGTGGGAATATTATTTCATTCACTCTAGTAATGATTCAATGTTTATTTTATTATGTTAACGTAGGTAAATTCATGCTTTATATGAGTTGTTTATCATTGTGCTCGTCACCATTTTCAAATTAGACTACAGCTCCTCCCCGACTTAGGACCACCCGCACTTACTACTTGCCTCAGTCGTACCAAAATTTTGTCAAATTACGTATTTTCGAGACCCAACTTCAGTACACAGACAAAATTTTCGTTTGTAATTCACTTTAAATTGGCTGGCAAGCTTAAAAGTGAGAGTTTTGTGGTGCTGAGAAGAAAATGTGACGCCCATTTTAGATTTTCTATGTGTTATTTAAGCATTTTTGACTTAGAACCATTTCAACTTACGACCTAGATTTGGGTCCCTAACCCCGTCGTAAGTCGAGGAGGAGCTGTATAAGTTAATTGTATTTCTCCCCTACATATTTCAATTGTATGCCTGGCAATGGGAACCTGGTAATGAGGGAGTGAACGCTAGTTCAAGTATCGTCTGCAATTGTAGCTCTCCTCCCGCCCTGCCATATTTCACTAGATTTACTTTTTCTTTTAAACCTCTTCACCACTGATCGGCTCGTTAACCGCTTGTGCGATGAGTCACGTCTCTGATTACTTTTCCCTTTCTTTTATCCTCTTCACCATAAGATCGGCTCATTAGCCTCTTGGGCGATCGGTCACGTCTCTCTTACGCACTGTTGGCAAGTACTGGGCATGCACCGGCTCCTGAATGTACCTGAACCCGCTCCAATGTTGGTCAAGCCTTGTCTTGAAAAGCTCACACTCGGTGCCGTCACAACACTTTCTGGTAGGTTGTTCCAAGAGTTCACAACTCTCACTCTGAAAAAGTTTGCCCTCACAGTTTTCTGGACTTGCGGCTTCTTCAATCTTGAGCAGTGTCCCCTTGTGGGGCAAGCGTCCGCCAGCTCCAAGTAAGGACACTCGACTGAGTAGTGCCCCTTGAGATGCTTATACACCTCAATTAGGTCACCCCTTGCCCGTCTAGTATAAACTAGGCAAGTTCAGGAGCTCCAATCTCTCAGGGTAGCTGAGGTGCCGAAGGGCAGGCACCAGTCTGGTGGCCCTCTTTTGAACATTTTCAACCAACTGACAGTCCCTAGCATATCTCGGGGACCAGACGGGGTAACAGACCATCTACGTATCCGAACGACCTTCTTATAAGACCCAATAATTTATTTGCCTGATTTACCTTCTTCTCGCAATGGCCCGAGAACTTCAGCTCATTGTCAACATACACACCTAGGTCCTTCTCACATTCAGTCTCAAATAGTGCAGTTTCTTTATCCTGTTGGGACACATGATACGCCTCCTTACCGTTGGTATGCCCCAGGTGCATCCTCTTACACTTCATGACAAAGAATCTCAGCAGCCATTTCTTCGACCATTCTTGGAGCCCACAGAGGTCCTTCTGCAGCTCTTCACAGTCCGCTTGGTTCTTGATTTCCCAAAATAACTTGGGGTCATTGGCAAACATTTGTATGGAGGAGTGTACAATGTTAGGCATGTCATTTATGAAACAAACAAACAACAGCAGGCCCAATACACTGCCCTGTGGTACCCCACTTGTGACAGGTACAGTTGATGATTTCGTGCCATTAATCACCACACACTGCTTGCGGTCATGTAGAAAGTCTTCTATCCACGCTTTGACATTTCCCCGAATTCCGTACCTTTCCTGTTTGATTTTCAGCCTTTCATGGGGTACACTGTCGAGAGCCTTGGCAAAATCTAGGTAAATATTGTCGATATTACCACCCCGTTCCAGAATATGGGTCCAAATATCCAATACCTTGAGCAATTGTGTTAAGCAGGAGCACCCCGGCATAAAACCGTGTTGGCAATCCTTTACAAGGTTGTTTCGTAGTAAATGTTCCATCGCGGCATCTCTGATAATACTCTCAAGTACTTTACATATTATGCTGGTCAGGCTCACCGATCTATAGTTGTTCGTGGAGTGACGATCGCCCTTCTTGAGGATAAAAGGATAAAATTACAGGTAAAAAAGGATAAATAAAAGTTGTGTTCTATGATTACAATTGCCTGTACACTGTATAATTTGTTTTATAACAGTTTCCAAAAATGCAGTTGCAAATTAAACCTATACTGTACTATATATCTGCTTATTGTACTGTTATGTGAATAAAATATGCTTGCTAAAAAAAGCGAATGAAAAATAAAAAGGGTATCCTTTTACATAGCCTTATGCTGAGAATCATGAGACTTGCCCTCCCCCCCCCCCTCCCCTTTCCATGAACATACTGTATATACGCCACTGGCCACAAGTCCAGAAAACAGTGAGGGCAAACTTTATTGGAGTGAGAATTGTGAACTCTTGGAACAATCTGCCAGAGAGTGTTTTGACGGCACTGAGTGTGAGCTCTTTCAAAACCAGACTTTGGACATTTTCAGTCAACTGACAGTCCCTAGCATATCTCGGGGACCAGACAGGGTGAGAAGTACTCCAGACGGGGAAGCATTTTACTCTTGAACATCGTTACGAAGGATATCTTAACGACCTTCTTATAAAATCTAATAATTTAGTTGCTTGATTTGCCTTCTTCGCGCAATGGCCCGAGAACTTCTATTCATTGTCAACATAGTGAAGAAGTGGTGTTTATTAAAGAAGACTACAGTGCACAGGTGTGTTTCTGACCTGGTGGAAATCTACCTGCCTATTGTTTGTCTGTAGACTGATACCAATCGTAGGGGAATTACAAGAGACTGGCGGGACAGCCATTGGTAATTCGACAACACTTGTGAGATAACTAGGTTGACAACCCTTTATCCGAAATTCCGAAAACCGAAAAGCTCAGAAAACCAAAAGTTTTTTTTTGTGGGGCAATTTTTATTTATTTTTACTTTTTTTTTAACAGGGATTAGCCCACCCGGGCATAGATCACTGACCCACATCAGGGTCTGGGGGGCGAAAATGTAATAGTAATAATTATTATAATAATAATAATTATTCATAGTAAATAAAAATTTTAATAAAAATACACCAAAATAAAATAATATAACATTAATAATAGTAATCATAATAATAATAATAATAATAATAAAACAAAATTAATAAAAATAACAATAATACAGGAGTACTGTAATAATAAAATAATGATAATAATAATACCTGTACTAATAAAGAAATGCAAGAATGAAAAAAGATCAAAAGTGAGAAACACGA